TCAATACTTCATTCAGAATGAGTGGTGACACCAGGGATCAATACTTCATTCAGAATGAGTGGTGACACCAGGGATCAATACTTCATTCAGAATGAGTGGTGACACCAGGGAAGAATGAGTGACGACACCAGGGATCAATACTTCATTCAGAATGAGTGGTGACACCAGGGATCAATACTTCATTCAGAATGAGTGGTGACACCAGGGATCAATACTTCATTCAGAATGAGTGGTGACACCAGGGATCATTACTTCATTCAGAATGAGTGGTGACACCAGGGATCAATACTACATTCAGAATGAGTGGTGACACCAGGGATCCATACTTTATTCAGAATGAGTGGTGACACCAGGGATCATTACTTCATTCAGAATGAGTGGTGACACCAGGGATCCATACTTTATTCAGAATGAGTGGTGACACCAGGGATCATTACTTCATTCAGAATGAGTGGTGACACCAGGGATCAATACTTCATTCAGAATGAGTGGTGACACCAGGGAAGAATGAGTGACGACACCAGGGATCAATACTTCATTCAGAATGAGTGGTGACACCAGGGAAGTATGAGTGACGACACCAGGGATCAATACTACATTCAGAATGAGTGGTGACACCAGGGATCAATACTTCATTCAGAATGAGTGGTGACACCAGGGATCAATACTTCATTCAGAATGAGTGGTGACACCAGGGATCAATACTTCATTCAGAATGAGTGGTGACACCAGGGATCAATACTTCATTCAGAATGAGTGGTGACACCAGGGATCATTACTTCATTCAGAATGAGTGGTGACACCAGGGATCATTACTTCATTCAGAATGAGTGGTGACACCAGGGATCAATACTACATTCAGAATGAGAGGTGACACCAGATTCAATACTTCATTGAGAATGAGTGGTGACACCAGGGATCAATACTACATTCAGAATGAGTGATGATACTTCCAGAATGAGTGATGACACCAGGGATCATACTTCATTCAGAATGAGTGGTGACACCAGGGATCATTACTTCATTCAGAATGAGTGGTGACACCAGGGATCATTACTTCATTCAGAATGAGTGGTGACACCAGGGATGAGTGGTGACACCAGGGATCAATACTTCATTCAGAATGAGTGGTGACACCAGGGATCAATACTTCATTCAGAATGAGTGGTGACACCAGGGATCAATACTACATTCAGAATGAGTGGTGACACCAGGGATCAATACTTCATTCAGAATGAGTGGTGACACCAGGGATCAATACTTCATTCAGAATGAGTGGTGACACCAGGGATCAAATGAGTGGTGACACCAGGGATCAATACTTCATTCAGAATGAGTGGTGACACCAGGGAAGAATGAGTGACGACACCAGGGATCATTACTTCATTCAGAATGAGTGGTGACACCAGGGATCAATACTTCATTCAGAATGAGTGGTGACACCAGGGATGCATACTTTATTCAGAATGAGTGGTGACACCAGGGAAGAATGAGTGACGACACCAGGGATCATTACTTCATTCAGAATGAGTGGTGACACCAGGGATCAATACTTCATTCAGAATGAGTGGTGACACCAGGGATCCATACTTCATTCAGAATGAGTGGTGACACCAGAATGAGTGGTGACACCAGGGATCAATACTTCATTCAGAATGAGTGGTGACACCAGGGATCCATACTTCATTCAGAATGAGTGGTGACACCAGGGATCCATACTTCATTCAGAATGAGTGGTGACACCAGGGACCAATACTTCATTCAGAATGAGTGACGACACCAGGGACCAATACTTCATTCAGAATGAGTGGTGACACCAGGGATCAATACTACATTCAGAATGAGTGGTGACACCAGGGATCAATACTTCATTCAGAATGAGTGACGACACCAGGGAAGAATGAGTGACGACATCAGGGATCAATACTTCATTCAGAATGAGTGGTGACACCAGGGAAGAATGAGTGACGACATCAGGGATCATTACTTTATTCAGAATGAGTGGGTAGCTCTAGCTATCGCTCGCCAAAAACAAGTAAAAATAGAAACGTGTCAACATAATCATAATCCAAACACAAAACGACTGAGATCCTGGCTCCGCATTGGAATTCTTCAGGGATAAGAATTGTATTGTATGAATTTCAATGTTATCATTAGTAAATAGGTAAATATGTATTCTCATATAATCCAAGCGGTTTTCAAGATATTTGTTTAAATCAATGTAATTTTCATTATAATTCCTTTCAACAAGTTGATAATATCAAACTCTGACACAGTTGGGGTAATTATTCCTGATCTATAAAACAAGGAAGAAACGACATCCCCCCTGACCATACAGACAGCGGTCAACTGTATAGGTTATCGTGCTGTTTGGTACACGTTGTTTTCTGTTACATGTACCGCCTCTTTCAACAAGTCTTCAGTAAAGTGTCTTAACTAATGGAAGTCTACTCTCTCACTGTAACAAGTTTGAAAACTATAGGCAAATTCATTCACAGACATTCAGGGAAAGATCCATCCAATGTGTGGTTTTGAAGTAACGACAGCAACTTTCGACTTGGTATAAGGAATATCAATATTTTTTAATTGGGTATCGAGTTGTGCAACCATTTTGATTGAAATGGGACCATAACAATAAATCAGTGGGCAAAAATAGCACCAGAATATTAGTCTTTGTACAACAATTTATTGTAATAACCATCGTGTTAGTGGTACTTAATTACGTATACCTGTGTACCATGTCTGTACTTACTTATTATCTATAAGTATCACTTGTCATTATGTTAAGATGTGGGGAACAAAAAAACCACTGTGTGGGTTTTCCACGACAGGAAGAGCTCCGTGACAAATGAAACAGGCCTAGAGATAAATACTCTGTTACCAGGCGTTAAGCAAACGTGTATTGCGTCTTCTATCAAATCGTTTTCATTTTTTTACATACTCTTACAAACGTGCTACAAAACAACAATGTAATAGAAATCACTTCAATACCAACAGACACTGCAATTATTGACAAGCGTCTAACCAACTAGGAATGTCTCGCCCTAGCTCTCCTTGGCGCTTAGGTATGCTTGGTAACAGACGGGTCAAAATAATTACGCATATTTGTTTGTCTTTTGGTAGGATAATTTTCGTACTCATCTGAGTTTCCAGATGCCTGATATTACTGCACTATTCTGTACTACTGGTATATCAGAAGGATACGTACTTTTTTCTACGTTTCTAAATAAAAACGAGATATTAGCTATTCTTTGTTGTTATGTATGTGCATTACTACGTGCCGTTTCAAGTTTATCATTTGGCATACAACTATCAGCTAAATCGGAATCAGAACCACTCTGTTCGTTTAAGCTTACATCATAGCGAAGACTACAAATTCTGCAGGAAACGTTGGAAATTTTTCACTGGGTTGAATATTTTTCATAATGTGAAATCTATTGCGTGAAGGGAATTCGTCTGGCCAAACTAACGTCTCTGTACCTTGTAACCCGGGTCGTATATAACACTGAGGAAACACTAGACTGATTTATAGTGCACTTGACAAAATGTCACTTTTGTTTGTATAATGTCAAAGTCCATGTTGGATGATAAATTAAAAAGAATTATATGAAACTGAAATATGACAATGTCAAATACCTCCACTGCCTCAAGTGGCATGAAAGAGTATTTTAAATGAGTGTGGTTTGCATTTTTAATTTCACTTTGAAAAAATACAATGCCACTCCACTTAAAAATGTGTGCGAATGTTTCACCCTCTTGCAACCTATTGATACAACGCCGTTAACTTCCTGAAACAAAGTTATCTTGAGTAATTTTTTCTGATGAAATTCTCTATGATTATTGAAGAAAATGAGTTTATTATACAGATAAAGGGGAAGTATTATACTAAGTCATTTTTCGTGATTTCTTTTCACTTATATTTGTCATTTATTCATTGAATTTTCACGTGCAAGTATCTATGAATTTAACATTCCAGACTGAGTATTTCTTTTTTCGTACAACAGAATAGAGCAGATATCAATTATTACATCATTTGTTTGTGAGAGTTACGTTATCTGAAAATGACGTCATTTCCTCACGCAATTTAATGACGTAACAATTAATAGTTTAAAATTAGAAAAGACGGGAAAAGGTGTGGGTGCTTGTGCTGTAGTCTTAGAGTGGGAAAGCACTATGGAGAACGATGACATTCGAAAACTATTCAAGAACACAACTGAACAATGTTCATACATACATCCGAAGAAATATATCATTTAGAAGTATTCGCTCTGTGGCTTATGATCAATAATAGATTCGATAAAAAGTGAATTCTTTGGAGTCACGTCATCTAAAGAAATGATAAGATGACATCACAAATGAACTTATACAAATCAGGAAGGGAAAAAAAGTAAAATTGGGACCGTGAAACTGTCTATCTAACATATCAGTGACGAAATACAAATAATTAGAAATTCCGATCCTGATGGTGTGGTTCTTCATCTTCAGATTAAGGCAGTCTTTAATAATAGATATGATCTGCGGGACTGAGATTTTACGTTCTTATACTGAACATTTAGGAAGAGTATTTAATTTGTGACTAAAACGTCTGATAAGGCTTTCATCTCGTTAGTGATCATGTTTAGGATTGATACGGCCATTAGAGTCCCAGACTATTTACCTAAGTCCGTGTTAGAACTGAGGAGAGTGCTTCTAGTAAAACTGTTACGTATTACTAATGGAATTGTGCGATAGATGCCTGAATTATGAATAATGATCAAATTTAATTATTTGTAAAATATGTATGATATTGACAATATAATGCAGTAACCGTATATGTATAACACACTGATCTGATGAATTATGAAACATGAAAAACATTTTTAAAGTCTGGTTAAATAGCAGGATCGCTCAGAATTTTATTAAAACATGTAAATACGGGTAATGGTTCACTTGCCGAGGGTGAAATCAGTTATCTCCCCACCCCTCGATTCCAGAATGGATTTTTTTCTGAGTACACTCACCAGCATTACACGGTCGGGTCCTCCGAGACCAACGCTTGCTGTTCTACCCTCATCCAAGGAATTTCCACTATCTTGTGATGATAACTTGGCCTTTTTTAATCCAACAATGTACACAAAACACGATATCAGTACACACACGAACAACATTTTTCCTAACGTCCGAAACATTTTAATTCGACTAGCACAACACTTGGTTTGATTGGTATAATTATTACACTGGCTCCAGACTTCACTATCAGTCGAAGAATGCTGTGTAGGTACGGTATATTGGAAGGAAACACAAGCGGGGTTTTTGGTATTTCCAGCTACTGGGTATGTAGATTTACTACGGCTACAATATAGTATATTATCACTACCATCTTTTTGTGAAAATGAAGAGTTGAAGGAAGGTAAGGGCTGGATATGTCTTTCCTGATCCCTACCCCAGCATACCCCACACCGGTTGTTCCGGAGAGTCCGACACTGATATTGTGAATACGATGGGTTGACGAGAGTGAGATCGTCCTTGGCGTACCGCGTTTCCGGTGGGGATCTGTTTAATCTTGTACCCTGGTCTCTGACCCTGAAACAGCAAAAACAAAAAAGACTAAATAAAATAACAAAAAATAATTGATAATTTGATGCGTAGAAACATAAGAAGATAAAGTTTCTTATAATACAACTGAAAGAAAAAATCAAAATGTGAAAATGATTTTGGCGAGATCTTGTTTTCACTGTAATATATTATGAAACAATGGCTCCATGACTGTAATATTTTGAATGTTTTCTCCATCTGACACATTTACATATCGTATGTTGAGAAAACCTTTCCTTTTCCACAATATACATCATCAATTTAGCTAAACGCCACCTTTAAATTACGCAATAATCGACAGTAAGACATGACTGGCAGAAAAATGGAGTATATAAACAAATTTTAGAGTTTTTGTTATTTATATTGGAGGAAGACACGAAAATAAAATGTTCTCTCCCATAAATCTTCTAGAATCGCGAAAGATCGACGAAAACTGTTACCAAAAGATAAAAGTCACTTCCCTGTAGCTAAGGCCCAACAATCACAAATATATATGTATGTGTCAATGTAGCTTTCTTCGTCAGGTTGGGATCTTAGCTAGACGAAATTGTAAAATGATGGATGAGATGAAAACCAGGATAGATTGAAAGGAGTGGTGACAATATGCGTTGTAAGTTTCGTAAATCTTTTATATCTTAAAAATTGATAAAGGTTCAACAACACGCAAGAAACATCAACACTTCTGTTGAAAGAACACATAAAAGTGAGTTTTCTCAAACAACACTGTTTTAAGGCTCCATGGGCTATCAGCAAGTGTTTCAGAAACAAGCAAGATCCAATTTCAGGTAATATCATTAACAAACAGCAATGAAGTTAAAAACTAGTTGGAATATGGCTTTTTCCTTCCGACAGGCCAGCTGTAAATCGTGGTAATGCTTTCTATAAGATAGCTGATCATCGGTGGACTTTTGCCATTTATTATACAAATAAAAAAAATCTCTGACGGAAATTATATTTTTTATAAAGATTGAACATTCTTCCTGTTGGCTCTTCTATCTATTTCGGATACATCAGATAGATTGTAAACTTCACATGAACGCACCGGTCTGTCGCTCGTCTCAAACACGAATACAACGGTCTACTCGTTTGTTTCAAACAAGTAACGAAATTAACATGATGTACAATTTAATTCAAGTTCTGCTCTAGTGTTCTATGATTGGATCAAATCACGATGGCAGAAACCTTTTAATAAAGTTGTTGGCAGTGTTTGTCGATCTGAGCGATATTAGTAATGATCGTTTCTGATTTGGTTGTGAATCATCCAGCCTTGTTGTATGTCCAAAGAACTTATCTCAAACGTAAAGAAACTTTTAGTGGATAGACAACAACGTTTAAGGCGATAAAACGGAACATATAGGAAAAACCCAGGGAGAAATTCGAGCATGCTGAGTTTTTTTCTCTCCGATGTATATAGATAGATGAAAAACACAGCGTGTGTTTATTAAGTTATCTTAATAATAATGCTAGGCTGTGTTACAGAAGACATCGTTTACAAGTCAATCACTTAGGTTATATAACTACGAAACAGCGCCCCTTCCATTCGTTACCGAAACATTGTTTGATATCTGAAGCAATCTGGTCCCTGAGTTGTCTTCCCTTATAATCGGTAAGTAATTTACCAAATGACACATCTCAGTAAGAAGGTAATCATTTCCAAATGTCAATCGGCATTCCTTCGTCAATATTCGTCAACGGTCGGAATTTTGTTCTCTATTTTTTTTTCGCTAAAATCTCTCCGCCAGGATAGTATTACCAAAACGACATTGTACTTAAACAGTATCAAGATTTCCGAATGGAAAATCCTCGAGTTAAAAACAAGAAGAAATGTCGTTTTGTTAGGCCTCTCATCGATGCTGTTTTTCTTAAACACAAAATCTGCCTTGTTCACTTGCATCCATGCCAACAAGTGGTTTTGACAGGATTTCTGATATGTTTTTGTAGAGTAAATAGTATTAAATTTCAATGCAATATTTTGGTGTGGAAGCCTTAGGTCGGTGTTGAAGAAAACGGAAACGCATTATTACATATAATTTGGTATTGATACCTACACAAATTACTCACGGAAACTTTATTCGAGCGAAACATCAACTCAATTTAAATATATTGCTCAATTACCGTTACGAAATGTACTTGTAGTTGATGCCAAAATATATATATACATGTTTACAAATCCTTACATTCACAACAGCTATAATGTTATCTCTTTTTTACATTGACTTAAAATTGTTCAGTGTTGTCTAAAACTTTAGAGTTATTGCCCTTTAAATTCACCAAATCTAAAACGCTATCGTAGTATCTTACACTGACTAAAATGTAAGGTTGTTGTTCCTTAAAATGTAAAGATGCCGTTCCTTACACTGTAGGGTTGTCATTCCTTAAACATGAAGAGTTGTTGTCGTTTTCTTAAATAAAAAGTTATCATTCTTTACACCGTACAATTGTTGTTCCGTACGTTCAATTAAACGATGGAGTTATCGTTCATAACATTGACAAAAACAGCACAGAACGTTAGTTCTCGGCTCATATCTTCATTGTTAAAACTGCGATCGCATTTTTAATATGTTTTCTTAAGAATGGACAGCAGGGAAATATGTAGTTGATGTGAATTGAAAATTACGTAGCTTTCTTTCGGTTTCTGCTTGTCAGTTTTCCAAAATGATTTATCAAGTTAACCAAACCTGATGACATTGTTTATGAGTCAGTAGATTAATCAGTCACAACAAGTGTAACAAAAGGGATTACCCAATCACAATGTTCGTAGCAACACAAGCGCGGCTGCCCTTCCGGTCTGTCCTTGATGATCGCTGAATTTAATGTTTACTTAGATAGCCCCCTTTCCTTGACCTTTTTGATCCCTAGATCTGATGACGTGCTGACAAATTTGTCACATTCATTTTTTGCTACAAAATTCCACGGGTGGCATGAGTACACAATGAATAACGCGTAGTATTAACAAACGAGGTCGCAATCTGACAGAGCGATTGACATAAAGGAAAGATTAAAAAAGACAAGGATGATGCGACGTGCAAGTGTGCAGCTATATCTCTTGAAACCCGCATGTTGGTAGTTTTGAAAGAACGTGAATTACGACACAATGATTTATGCCAGCAAGCAGCGCACTTAATCACAAACTGAACATGTCATTTTTTAATCCGGTAGTGCATTCGATTTTTCAAGGTTTCTATAAAAATCCTGTTAATATCTTGCTTCTCTCATCCATTTTGAAATAAAGTTACAGTGTGTGATTAACATTTCAAAATGCTCGTTTGTTTTTCCCCATAATCATGACGCAATATTCAGAAATTTAATATAGCGATATACTGACTAGAAACTGAATATAGCGATATACTGACTAGAAACTGAATATAGCAATATATTGATAGTAAGTCAACATGGCAAAACATTGACCAAAACTGGAGTCAGAGGTATCGTTGTTGAGAAACTAATTTTACTACATCGCCTAAAGCGCTATGATAAACTCGATTTGGAAGCAAATGATAAAATGAAATGTATTTTGCATACGTGTAAAAACGCAACATAGCATGTTATATACACATCTAAAGAGACACATGGCTGTAGTCAACCACAAATATACACCTTGTGACACGTGGGTGTGTTGATTTTAGTTTATTTGACATTAAAAGCCGTTTCAAGCTATTTTTAGATTATTGGATGTTCAGAGTAATTTTCCATGTCTATTAATAGATTTTTATTGTTATTTAGCATTTAAAAAGTACTAACATGACTGCACTATTCAGTATACAGGCGAATAGGTGCATTTTAAACCCTCCGTCAAAAACAGCAGCCGATGTATTGACAGTTTTGTGTGCTTCCGTAAGTCGTGCTAGTGGTGCCATTCAATTGACTTGACTCCACTGCGTTCTAATTTACTCCCTAGAGTGCAGCTCGTGACATGTGTTTTAGACAATGAAAAATAATAATTTGTTTTCGACTGGCTGTAGTATTTCCTAAACATCTGTGTGATTGAAATTTGACTTCAAATGAATCATGTTTACATGTAACTATAAATTCTAATTAGAGGCTATGTGTATATCAAAAGGTGCGTTTATAATGTGCCTGTTTAAAATGGAAAATTAGTCATTCAAACTATTTTGAGATACCTTCAGAGCGTGACAAGCAGACAGGCCAGACGAACTTGATGAACTCAAACATATAGACATTTATTGATAGATTGATGTGGAAGATTGACACCGAAATATCGATTTGATGAAATACACGGACAGACAAGCATTGCCGTTTTATAGAGGTACAAAGACAGACGTTATTGTACTCAAACATATGGATAGACTTTCATAGTCCTCTTTGATATAATGAGACATCCGGACTGACATTCTCGTTTGATAGACTGAGACGCACAGATAAACTTGATATGCAAGGCAAACGGACAGACATCTTTTGATGTAACGAGACGCAAGGAATCGGCTAAATAAGTCACACAAGCAATCATTGACCAGATATCGCTTACAACGCAAACTGAGACACCTGGACATACAATTACTTCGTAAGCGAGACACACGCATGACCAGACACTACTAACGTGGTAATATGAGACACGTGCACATACAATTACTTCATAAGCGAGACACACGCATGACCAGACACTACTAACGTGGTAATATGAGACACGTGCACATACAATTACTTTATATCGTGAGACACACGCATGACCAGACACTACTAACGTGGTACACACACATACAATTACTTTATATCGTGAGACACACGCATGACCAGACACTACTAACGTGGTAATATGAGACACGTGTACACACAATTACTTTATATCGTGTGACGTACACGTAACCACTCAACACTAACGTGGTAATATGAGACACGTGTACACACAATTACTATATATCGTGTGACGTACACGTAACCACTCAACACTAACGTAGTAATATGAGACACGTGTACTCACAATTACTTTATATCGTGAGACACACGCGTTACCACTCAACACTAACATG